GCCGGCCTGCAGCCGCGGCCGCTGGGGAGGCCCGACCCCGCCGCCTCCCCACGTGTCTGAGGTGCGCGGAGGGGACGTGTGGCCGTGGGAGCCGCAGCCGCCGGGGGGGCAGGGTCGGCGGGTAGAGAGCGGAGGCGGGGCGTTCCGCCGGAGCTGCGGAGAGGATCGCAGCGCGGAGAGGCTGGGGACGAACCGATCAGCTCGCTCCCTTTGCTGGAGCGCTGGCTGATCTTGGCTCTGCCTGCTAGGGACTTGTCCGCTCCTGGAGTCTGCGTCTCCGTTTACCCACCCCGGTTACTGAAGCCTTTCGGGACCTCACTAACAGTGTCTGCTGGGAGAATGGGACCGTCCGGCTCCCCTTTGTCCTTGGGACTCTTGCGCCTAACTCTTTCTAGGAGGAGCCTGGGTAGGGTGGGGCATTCGTGTAAAATCTTCTGCATAATTTTCACAAGCGATTGGAGAAAGAACCGGAAAGGTTGTTCCACCCAGCTGCAGGCCCGTAGATAAAGAAAAACTCGCCCAGAGGTAGTAATGCCAAGGTCACATGACCAGTCCTACTACTTGCTCGCCCAGGTTTTGTAGTTGATTATAAAGTCTCTTCCACCCCGACATGCCCTTGCATTTTTTCAGGGCCCTGGAAACTTGTTTCCTTTGGATCGTAGAAATATTACTCCAAATCACGATGTTTCTAGTTTCAAATTGACTGTATTGTTGGCTCTGGATAATTTGGCCCTTTAAACAGAAATTGCTGTGCGGAGGGAATCCCAGCCCTCTAATCCCACAAGTGACCTTGACTTCTGCAGAGAGTTGACGTTTTCTCTGGCTTAGAATGATGATGGCTTGCTGTGTGTCGTCGTGCTTGGTTGGCAGAGATAAAATGAAACCTGTAGGATTTAATCTTGAGGTGTCTCCAGACACCCAGCAGCAAGCTAGAGTCTGATCATTTGAGAGATACTTGTCTTACTTGGCTGTTGCTACTCCTGCAACTGGGGAACAGGGTAAGGAAACCTCTTGGGAAATGAAGCAAGTTCTAGATGGTGTTTTGGCAGCAAGGGGACACTATAATTAGCCTCTCCCGGAGTTGCTAACCCAGACCAGATAGTCAAGCCCCCACATGAATTTGGAAAAACCTTTGCATTTACTTTTTTTTTTTTTTTTTTTTTAAAGACAGAGTCTTGCTGTGTAATTCAGGCTGGCCTTGAACTCAATATGTAGCCCAGGCTGACTTCAAACTCCAGGTGGTCTTCCCTCAGCCTCCCCAGTACCAGGATTAGAGGTGTCTGCCGCCACACCCGGCCTGGGTTTACCTGATGAATGTATCTCCTAAGTAAGGAATGCCTTTGAGATGTCAGGGCTTCATGATTGTAACAGTGTTATTTTCTTTACTTTTATGTCAGAGATAACCTGGGGAGCCTAGAAACCCACAAATTGGAAGTCATTAGAAAGCTTTGATCCTAAAAGCCAGCAAAGCCCAACACACTCAGGAGTGGAATTTTCTGAGAACTAAGCAATGTGATCAGGATACCAAGCAGCCCTTTAGCTTCTCAGCCTTGCTCTCACCTGCCTGAGCTTTCTAGATTACCTTGCAGCTTAATTAGTAATTGTTACTAGTAATGTGAAGGTAGGTTTTATTTGTTTTAATTATTTTTTTTTCCTTTTTTGGTACCGAGAATCAAACTCAGGACCATGTGCTTGCCAGGCTTATTTTTTAAATTAACTTTTTTTTTTTGAGACAGGGTCATGCTCTGCAGTTCAGGCTGGCCTTCAACTCACTATGTAGGCCAGGCTGACCTTGAGTTTAGGGAAATCCTGCCTCAGCCTCTCCAGTACTGGGACTATAGGCATGTGCCATCGTGCCCCACCTAAGATACATTTTTTTATGGGGTGGGGTGTCTGTTTTTGAGACAGGGGCTCACTATGCAGTTCAGGCTGGCCATGAGCTCACTTTGTAGCCCTGGCTGGTCTCGAACTTGCAGCGATTCTCCTGCCTCAGCATCCCGAGTGCTGGGATTAGAGGCATGCAACATCACGCCTGGCTCTCAGATACTTCCTGTGAAGATGGCATAATAGTCATGTGACCTGAAAAGAATGATTGATTCTCAAGGTCAGATGTAGTTTTTTTTTTTCCTGAGAAAAGATTTTTCCTTAACCTTACTAAAGCAAAAGTGCTAGTCATTGTTCTACTCCATCCTACACAGGTAATTTAAATGAACACCTGAGATGGGGAGAGATAGACCACTTCAGAGTGTTGATATTTATCTGACTTCTTATTTATCCATGTGAATTAATACAAAGCAGTTGCCTTAATGTTGGCTGTGGGTGCCTCAATTTTGTGACTTAAAAACTCTTGGCTGAGGATCTAGCTTAGTGGCAGAGTGCTTGTCATGCCTAAGGCCTTAGACTTAATCCCCAGCACTGCTGCTCAACACTAGGAACTTTTTTTTGCCCTGTTTTCTGAGACAGGGTCTTGCTCTGTAGCCCAAGGTGGCCTTGAGCTTGCAGCAATCCTGCCTCAGCCTCCTGAGTGCTGTGATTACAGGTGTGTGCCACCAGGCCAGGCCTTAAAGGAGGATGTTTGAGGAAACCAGTTTTTTGTGTGTACCAGGAATCAAACTCAGGACGTCATGCTTGCCAGGCAGGCACTGCACTACTGAGCTAAATCCTCGGCCCAGGAAATCAATTTTAAGTTTTTATATTTCTAAATACTTGAATGAATGTTTCCTTTACAGCAGACATATACCACTGCACATACCCTGCATAAGTCCTAGTCTAAAATTGGTTTCAACAAAATTGAGGGTTTTTTTGTTCCTTAAACTGAGTTTGTTTTGTCCTGTGAAATAATTAGGTTTGAAGCCCAGAACTTTTAAGGCAAGGGCTCAGATCTCTGCATTTATCAACTGTCGTCCTGTTCATAGTAAATGATTCTGTGACACTTACTTAGTACATGGACCAAAGAAAGGAAGGAGGCTTGTGTAGTGCTAGTGGTGGGAGGAGTGCATTTATTCTTGCTAGTGGCTTTAGATTGGTAGCAGGTGAATGAATGCACAGGCATTCCTGGTTCTTAGACTCCAAGAATGCAGACAGGGCTGGGCGTGGTGGCACATACCTGTAATCCCAGCACTTGGGAGGCTGAGGCAGGAGGAGCCTTGCAAGGACCAGCCTGGGCTACAAAGTGAGCTCAAGGCCAGCCTGAACTGCGTAGGGAGACCTTGTCTCAAAAAAACCAAAACAATTTCAAAAAAAGAATGCAGACAGGGATTTCACTAAAGCCATGCAGTAATTCCTTCTGCCTTGTGCTGGTGGTTTTCGTGATAAGAACTGAGTAGCATGTAAAAATGTAAACTGCTAGCATTGGTTTTTCACTTTTTCCCTAAAATGCCCAAATTCCTTATGTCCCTGTATTCTTTAGACTTGCTGTCATTTTAAGGGGTCTGTAAATTAAGGGATTTAAGGGATCTGTAAATGATTAAGGGATCTGCGCATCATACCTGGGATTTTTGTTCACATTGCAAGTTACTTGATCCTTCAGGGGAGGTGGACTTTGGGCTGGGATCTGGAAACTGGTGTTTTATCGAGCACTTCAGTTGACTGACAGATGAGATGTGGTGGTCCTAGGAGCACACTGTTAGGCTGATAAAGCCACATGAGGGGTTTTGTCTGGACCTGTTGTTGTTAGATGTATTACAGAAACTTAGACTGTATGTGACATTCTCGCTCTACAGTTTAGGCTGGCCTTGAACTCACTGTGTAGCCCCAGGGTACCTCAAACTCACAGCAGTCCTCCTGCCTTTCCAGTGCTGGGACTCAGGTGTGTACCAGCATGCTCAGTTTGGATGTTTTTTTGGTACCGGGAATCGAACTCAGGATCTGGCTTTTGTCTGGCAGGCACTTGTGCCACTGAGCTATATCCCCGGCCTTAGGGATTATTTTAAAAATTAACAGGCTGGGGATGTAGCTCAGTGGTAGAGCACTTGTTTAGCACCAAGTGCAGGGCCGTGGGTTCATCTAGAGCATTACACACACCGAAAAAATTGGCTTTGGACCCGTGTAGCTCAGTGCTAGAGCATGTGCTTAACATTGTGAGGGCCTTGGGGCTCAATTCCTAGCACCAGAGTAAAATAAAAACTTTAAAAGTAATTTTATTTTAAAAGTAATTTCCAAACGATGGTGTACTTTTGGCCATTTTCTCTAGATTTTTCATTGTAGGCCTTTTTTCAAATGGCTTACAAAAGAAGTTTTTTTGTAAATCCCTGGAGCAAAGTGTTAGGAGTTAAGACTTGTAAAAACTCCTACCACAAGTAAGGGAATCATTTATAATTCCTGAGACTTAGTAGATGCCATATACCTTATTCACTAGTGTGCACTTATATAACAGTTTGGTGTTCCAACAAATACTTGTTAAAAAACAAGGTTTCTACTGAGAGGAAAATTTGGATTCAGTGGTTTTCTGAGGCTTGAGTGATATCTTTTTTGGTGCTTCTCTTTAAATAATCAGTGAAGTCTTAAGGAAGAGACTCTTGGAAAATGACAGGTGGAATTATTAAGGAAACTTCTGTGAATATGAAGGTGATCAAAGTGAAGAGGACACTACTCAAGCTATTAAATAGCCTGACCAAATACTGTGGGACAGCTTCTAGTGTCACATTGTGAAACTCAGACGTTAGTTAAATGCCTTTAGTTCTCTGACCTGGTTCTGGGGAGAGAGGAGCCTTTGTCTAGACAAGTTTGTTTTTTATTTATGCAACTTGTTCTTCTGCATTGGAAGCCTCTGTATCGTAAGAGTCTTCCTGTTGGTTATTAGAGCATTGTTTGCTCCATCTGCTGCATCTGGCCTAGCTTGGCTTGGCAAGCTCTTATTTGTCTGTGTGTGTGTTGAATCAAGGTCTCATTTTGGAGTTCACGCTGACCGTGAACTCAGCAGTTCTCCTACCTCTGCGTCCCGAGTCCTGGGATTATAGGCATGTGTCACCATATACCCAGCATTCTGATCTTTTATTGATGGACAAAGGTTCTTTTAAAATAAGCCAGGTGCCAGGTGTGGGAGGCTGAAGTAGGAGGATG